AGAAAAATAAAACATTAATAAGTTATTTTCCAGCTCATTTTCTATAACATAACCAAATACTGGAAAGTATTTTCCAACTTATTTTTCATTACACTACCAAACATGAGAAAATAATTCACTTTTCCGGAATTCACTTTTCAAAAGGAAACTACTTTCCAGCAAACAAACAGGCCCTAAATCTCAACAAGAAAGCATTTTGTAAAGATCCAGCACCTGTGTCCCATTTCTCTTTATCCTTTAAAGTTGAAACCAAATGGTGCCCCACCATCTATCCATCTACTCATCAAACGCACAATCTTGTATCAAATATTCTTACAACAACAGAGTTAATATCCTCTACATGCCGACAATGACAGTTTTCATAAACAAAATTATGAAAAATAAATAATGATAAAAAAATCAAGACATTCATGCCATCCTATTAAAAATATCAACAAACTAAAGCCATTACTTTCCAATTAATAAGTACTACGAAGTAGCTTCATAAAACATGTTCAAGGGAAAATGAAGGGCCGGGGGCGTAGAAAGAGAAGATACCTGATTAATAGTCATTTCATTAAGATTAATATGAGTATAAATTTTGTCCTTCGCCAAAGCTGTTATGTCACTGTACAAATGATAACACATAATTAGCCTCAGCATCGAAGAAGAGTTGCAAAATATGGTTTTAAGAATATCAAACCCAGAAGAACAAGTTACCTCCGACAATATATGTCTATTAACGAGTCATTCTCATCAACTATTGGTATTGAACTTACTTGAGCTGCAAGTACAGAAGGTGATAAAAAAATACTAGGTATTAAAATTACAAGAAGATCAAGATGTATAGCTGAAGTATATTCTTGTCTAGCTGAAACCATAGAAAACTACCCCAAAAGGAAACAACTTATTTTCTCCTAACGACTAAACTATCCCCCACATAACAACTAACTTAGCCAGTGAAATCTCTGGGCATCATACCAGAAACATAGAATCCAATTTTAGGCACACTAGTGGTAAGGGGTTTAAGTAGGAAAAATACCCAATCACAGGGCCCAGCCATCAGATCCAAAAGGAGGGAGAATCAGGTGAGTCATAAAATGGGAGACACAAAAAATGAATAATTTATTAGTTGATAAATAGATCCTTGTCAATTTTATTTCAATTTTCAGCAATTCAAGAAATTTATCAAATAGTATACTCATATGCACCTCATCCAATCAATAAGATTTTCGAAAGTTCCATGTAACTTTTAAGTGTAATACATGTAAAGCAGTTTCAAGTAGTTTGCTACAAATATTTGCCACTAAGAATTTGAACTTCTACTTCCAAAATATACACGAATTCTTCTGTTGATAATTTATTTTCCTTCTGTCTGCACTTTACAGAAATTACTAACATACCTTGAATTAACAAGTTTAAAGCTGAACTAAGAGAAGCACTTGGTCTCAACATGGCCAACGGGCGCCCGCTAGGCTCTCCAATACTTGGAACCCATGAACCCACTGGTATTGCACCAATCGGTAGTTGGAGCATGGGTAAGGTGCCAGAACAATGTCTAAAGTACCTGCAAATACCTGGAAATTAACATCCTATAGTTAGTAATAAACTATTTGTAGCTACTTAGCAAGCTAACCAAAAAGCCTTACATTTCAGTATTCCAGAGAGTGAGGCAAGATGCAGTAATTGAGGAAATGAGCCATCTTCTGATGATGAATGGATAATGGGAACTGTAGCCACCTCATTCTGCAATATTCTCAAAGCAACCTCTTTCAAGTTGTCATATGGCCCAGCCTGCACATTAGCCAAAATCCAGATCAATGGACAAAAGCCACATCAAACATTTTTGTTATATATATAGTAACTCAAGATAAAGCCATTTGAATGCTTCCTATAAGTGCAGCACAAAAATGAAGCGCCAAGAATAATTACACGTTTCCACTCCGCTTGATGCATGAATGGTGAAAAACAAATTAGGGGGTAGTTTACATGCTACAGATACAAGCATGCCTGAGAGATCCCTTACATGTATGAGATGTCTAGGTAGAGCCCGGACATGTCCATCTATTTGCCTATTCAGATATGATTTTCCCTCTTTCCAAGCGGATATTGTGTGTGTATCAAGTTCTTCCTCAGTAAAATCTGATCCGTTATTTCCAAGCTGCAAGTAAAAGTAATCAGTGTTATAGAAACATGCAAACAGTATATTTCTGTCCACAAGACTTCTTATCAAGAACAGTAGCATCCAAGCATAAATTATTCAAGCTTGTTGCCTGTTTTAGAAGCATGTAAATTTCTCCCAATATCAATGAATATCCCAAAAGCCATCAATTACATTTGGGTTCTTGTCTCCGAATCAAAACCTGTCCCCAAACATTTGGGGTCAAACTTCAAAGAAGATAAATGGATATCATGCCATATGGAAAACAAAGCTGTATAAAAATTTGTTTACTTTTACCCTTAAGGAAAATGAACCTTGTGTTGTTGCATTGTTTATCTATATGCATCTCTGATGCATATAAATTTGCACAGTGATAATCAATGAACAAATAAACATTTGTATTTAGAAGATTCACTGTTGAAAGAAGACATGATTTTACATGCACATACCTCTCTCAATATCAATATGAAGTCCAAGGCACTAAGCACTCCAACAAACTGGCCCCTAGAGAAGTCCCAAAGAGGAGCCATAGGGATTCCCTGGAAACAGCTAACTTAGAAGGCATACATACCCAAGCTCTTAATCAGCAACAATTAAATATGCATGACAGCCAACAATTGTAAATAATAAGTATGCAAAGCTCAGATCATGGAACAGACTAAGCCTGAAGGCAGGACTTAAGCCAGCTTGAAACTGACTATTTACTTTAGCACATGTGCAGCATGAATTTTTATTTCCTTCTCCTTTTAGATTGGAAAATGCATTGCTTTGCAAACAGCATAAGTATGAAATTAACACCTTGGAGTTCCATAAATGAGTAGTGAAGTAATCGCAGCTGCATCTACTTTTTATTCTAAAATCAGGCACCCTGTTGACATTTGTTTCTTGCTGAGTAAGATGTCTTTCCCCGATCCAGTGCTCAATATCTTACTCATTGAGAAGGGTTCAATAAATGAGAACTGAAGTAATCACAGCCACATCTACTTTGTATCTAAAATTAGGCACCCAATTGACATTTGTTTCTTGCTGAGTAAGATGTCTTTTCCTGATCCAGTGCTCAATATCTTACTCACTGAGAAGTGTTAAATAAGGAAATTCATTTTATAGAAGAGGAATCATAATAAGCTGACCACAGGTGTTGATATTCTGGAGCAGGCAAGCTGGGTACAATATCAGAGATGGCTGCCTTTCCGTTTGGCAAGGAGAACATGAAAGAAATTTAGTTTTGGCTGTTGTTATTTAAGGTTGATAAATTCCTTTACAAATGTCATAAAAGATGGATGCTTCAACATGTGAGGGAAATATATATCTATGCTAATGTACGGAGATAACTGTGGTTGGTGAAGTTAGTGTAGAAGGTGTGGTATAAAGCCTTATCGCTCATGGATCTGAGTAATTCTATGATGATCTAGTTAGATATCCTAACAAAACAAGTGAAGGAACTACCAAGAAAAATTACAAACCTAGTTCAAAAGAAGAAATGACGGTCACAATCAGCATCGAAAAGTAAGAATACATGATGAACTGAATCATAAAAGCAACAACTAAAACATGCCAATTATGCATTCCATCACAAAGGCATGTAACATTATATGTATGAAAGGCTTGCTTTACCAGTAAAGGCATACAAAAAAAAAGGTTTGATACCTGCTCGAACAAAATATGAAAGGCTTGCTTTACTGGTAAATCAACATCCAAGGCAACTACCTGTGAGTTGCATTTTCTAAATTAGGAGAATATAGATTTGCTGATTTCAAATCCAAGTAAAAAGCCAAAATATGAGTGCCACAATGAAGACCATTGGTAAAGGATCCAAACCTTGCCTGACTGGGGAAGTAGCTCATATGCAGTGTGTGTAGTTAAAAACACAGAAATCCGGTGACGAGAGACCTGTAAGTCAGCCTCTGATATGCTTAGCACACCACCAGTCAATGTACCATCTGATACACTGACCTG